GGCTTCATAGACTCTCTAAAACTCTTGAACTCTGGGCTCTAATACCAAGTTTGTAACGCCCAGAGCCTACACCCTGAATGTGGTCCGCATCAAACGATCCTTACTGGCCTTGAGTGAACCCTTGTCCTAGCTTACTTAACTAAGTGGAAGAATTAACTTAACTCTAGTGTAAAACATAAAATATTCTCATAAAAAATACTTTAAACTATAGTCTTGGAAAAAATGACACTTAAGTCTCAAAACAATATATGTATATTTTCTAATAAAGAGAAACCCAAAACTTACTGTCTGACTATCTATTTGTTTATGAAGCCTTTTCTACTTCTAAGATGAATGTTGGGAAAAACCTCACAAAATTATATAAAGTAATTACGGAATGAAATTTAAAAAGTCCTAGTCAATGCAAGGAGGCTCACAACTAACTCTGAATTCTCAAGCTGGATCAACAAGGCGCTAGACGCTGATTTGGGTTACCTGCGAGTGCATCATAAGATGATGCATGACATATGATATCAATACATTCAATTCACAAGTATGTGAGTTATAATTTTAACAACTACTACTAAGCTTGAAATGATTAAGAATTAACTTACCTTGTCTCTACTCAACTAAAAAAAGTCAAAACGCAATATAAAGCACTAAAGACACATGCAGTATATATAAAACTTGCAAAACAGTGTAAATACTTAATTCATTAAAAGTAATGCAATTATGTACTAAACTTTACTTATATGAAAAAATTAATATAGTTTTTGTGGGAGATTCTCTAACCGACAAGCATCACTATCAACCTAAGTGACAGTTCAACATCTTACCTCACGTTGCAAGAGGACCACTCTATACCATGCGTAACGATTGAATCCGAACTACTAAGTCGATCCACTAGTCTATACTAAAAAGAACTAAGGAATCATCTAAAAGTATGATCATTTGTTTGTCCATGCTGGCTTTATCGTTTATGGATACTTGAGTTGGCATGAACTCGCGTCCCCATATCGGTGCTCAATAATACTCCCGAAATACTCATCCCATATGTTTTTTAAAACGACTTCTTCTCTGGTTTGAGGTAATTGCTGAAACATAGCTTTAAAAAACTCTCTTGGACATCATAGTTCCTGTGTTCAAAACTAATCAAAGATTCCGTGGAAGTCTAGCTTTCTTTCATTCTCAAAATGTGAAAAGAATTATAACTCTTAAGGACTAATTAGTTCCCTTATTGCTTTTGAGAAATGAACTCGCTTTTTGTTCTTAACTTTACTTGAAACATAACTCTTGGGGAATATTAGTTTGCTTATAGTTTTTGAGATTTAAACTCAACTCACTTCTCATTACTCAACTTGTATATTGAACCTTAAAACAAAGTAAAAAAATGTTTGTTTAAGACTCTTGAAAGTTTTAAGATTTCTCTTTGACTTGCTTCTTAACTTTTAGACTTGACTCTTAACTTCTTCGACTTTGTTCTTAACTTTCCTTGAATTTTATTATGGATTCAAGGACCATGATCATATGTAAGTCGATGATTTACTGATGTATAGATGTAACTTAGAGTTTTCGAATCAACAAGGAATTATAGGTACATAAATTAGGATATCGTATGAAAAGATTGGGAGAAAATGAGATCTTCAAGTGACCCTGCGCTCTGAGAGGTGCCGGGTGCCAAAGCCTGAAGGACAGGGACCTTTCGAGGAGGTTATGACTAGCACGGCGCGCTAGGACCTGTTAGACAAAGGTTGCCCTTAGGGGCTCTGGCAAGCGTGGCACCCTAAGGCTTGTCAGACTCGATTTTTGACTTTTCTTGTCGGATTTTCAATTCAAAATCTTCCAAACTCCCATGGATATCACCCTCAAACACATAGGATTACTAAAATACTCAATACACAATATGTTACACTTGTAAAACAGCTCGGAAACACGAATCAAACAGCCAAAGATATTTTACAACTCAACCAACAAGAATTCAATGATTTTCATCAAGAACATCAATGTTCATCATTCAATCTAATTTAATTGCGCTGAATTAAGCATATTGTTGTGTGAGTGGAAGAACCTAAAACAAAAAAAAATTCACATGCGTTATAGGTATCACCCCCTACGAATTCCTTTCAACGATTTGGCGTTCTTCAAGAATTCTTAGTCTTTTCTCGTTTCTCCTTCTTCTCTTCTCTTTTCTCCCAAGACTTAAGCATATTCAATCTTTTAAAAAATAGCATAAGGCTTAATTTTACACCTTATATAACCTTAAAACAAATAAGTAAATAGTAGTGATAAAAGACTACTTTACCCTTACTAAAACCCGGATTGAATTTTCCTAAGTCCAATAACCCAACTTCCGAAAGGCACATGTCCCTCATAGGACATCAAAAATGAGCAAACTCGGTGGCGTTAGAAAGGTCTCTACAACGTCTTTCCAATCATATAAAGAATTGGCAGTAACTCATCCTGAGCTAGAAGTTATGGCCGTTTGAAAATGATAAAGAAATAACTTTTACACTTCAAAATTTTTCCATATTTTTCCTGTTCTTTCCTAAATTAACTATTCTAAGTTCTTTTTGTTTAATCCTAGCTATTTTCATTTATGAGATGTTACACATAGATAAAAGCAACTTTTATTAAATTTGGAATACCTTTAATAAAGGTGAACACATCTTGTTGAATGATGATAGCTCTCCAAACAACAATTTTTGAAGTGTTTGACATGCTAGAATTGAGTTTTATCTTTGAAAACAAATTTCGAAAATGTTGTACAACTTATTCTTCTCCATAGGTAATTTTTTTACCATGATTTTTTTTTCTTTGATTAACCATTCTTTCTTTTTTGTGCAGCTGATTTGTTCTTTACGTTTCTTGATCTTATTGAAACTGATTGTTTCGATCAAACTCATGTAATTTTCTCTCAGTGGAATGTTTCCTTTTTCCTTATCGTTTTGCTTGTTAGAATTGTTGTAATGTCTCCTTTTATAAGGGAATTATTTGTATAATTCATATTTATTCAGTGTCAACTTAGAAGGGGTTTAGGGTTTTTTTCTATTTAACTACAATTTATTGACCTTGATAACTTAAAAATAAATTAATGTTTGACATTGATTGTGTGATTGAAAGTTTCTTCCTTTTCTTTGTTGATTTGTAATATTGGAAATCTTATCGAGTATTTAAGTCAATCAGGGCGACCCACCTTACAATAAGGGGTGTCATTCGACACTTCTTTCATCAAATATTTAAATCACTATATACACATTTCAAGAATATATATATATATATATATATATATATATATAAGCGTGGGGGGGGGGGGCAGCACAGGAGAACTATTTCTTGTCCCCAAGCTTACACTCATGGTTGACTACAAGGGGGAGACTAACTCAAACATACAAAGCTTAAAACTGAATAAAGCGCAATGAACTCATTTACAAAATCATTAACTCTGAATAAAATAGTATATTAAACTCACCAGAAAAACTAATCTCAAGTCTTTAAAATATTTAATAAAATACAAAAGACGGATTTCGCAAACTTTACCGTCTATCTATGAAGCCTTTAAATAATAAAGATAGAAGTCGGGATATGACCCACGACAACTTAATGAATTTGAAAACAAAATGATATCCCCTTAATGCAAGGAGGCTCACAATACCTAACTCAAACTGCAAGGTGACTCAAAAAATAACCAATTGATTAAATTTTAAAAGAATCTAATGAATAAACGAATTTTAAAGGAGTCGTCACCTAATTTTTGAAAAACTAGGAAACCAAATTAAAGTTATATACCAAACCAATTTGATTATATGTAAGAAGTTCAAATTATTTCAAAGGGAAGGGGTTAGGCACCCTTCGGAAACCACAAATGTGGGTCCCGACTGAATTCATTTTTTAAAAAAATTGAGGAGGAGAATAAATAATGTACAAAGTATAATAAATATTTAATATGAACAAATAAAATAATAAGAAAATATATGAAACGGCGTACAGTTTGTCTGACGTCAATAATATAAAATATATTTGAATTCCATTGGAATAGCTTCGATGAGAAGCAATTCCGGGATACCAATGAACACACTTAGTAAAGAGTTAGTGATAAACAAATATGAGTATTTAATAAATAAATAACTGAAAATAACATTCGTCTTATTGACATGGAAGACCATGAAACTCGACGGTAACTTCTTCATCGGTCTATTTTATCAGATACATATATATAAATTTGAACTAAATTTTTCGTCTTTTAATCATTGGGAAGACCTCCAAAATCGACGTAGATATTTTACCATTGACCAGTTTTACTAGTAACAACTAAAATGATATAATAAAAAGAACAAACAACAATGGTAGACAAATAAAATGAACATTAGATTTGTCGGACACTTTATTAAATAGTGAAGGAAGTCAATCCAAATAAATTGATTAAAAAACTATATGTGAATCAAATGGAATAGCAATGCAAATCTAAAGTTAATGGAAAATGGAAACATAATAAACATATGTAATAATTAAAAAAAAAACTATCATATACATCCATATATTTGAAATGCGGAAATTACTGCTAACTCAAACGAGTCAAACAAAAATGGCAAAAACAATATAATGAGATAGTGAAAACAAGCTAGCAACTAACAATAACAAAATCTAATAAAATTAACTAAAGAAACAATAAATTGATTAAGCTTAATCGTCATTAAAAATGCACTTTTTAATCTAAATTAAAATAATGAAATAGAAATTAACAATAAAACAAATGAAACAAAAATAACACAATGTTATTATAGCAATTATGCAGAAAACAATGAAAAAATTTAGAGAAAAGTTTAAAAGTAAAAAAACAATAAATTAAGAAAAGAATTACACTAACTTATAATTATAGCAATTATGCAGAAAACAATAAAAAATTAGAGAAAAGTTTAAAAGTAAAACAACGGCTTACAGCAAGTATGAGGAACGAAACTACCGCACAAGAAATAACGGTGACCGGAATTTAGAGATTTAAGAGCGGTGCATCTGTTGCTTACCCGGAATTTGAGCTTGTCCAGCTCGTTTGCTGCGATAGAAAAGGCTAGAAAGGGTTTCAGGTTATTTAGCGGAGAGCTCGTAGATGGAACTGGTTCGAACAGCTAGTTGCCTGCGTAAATGGAAAAAGAAAAATGTTAAGGGGAAAGGGGATGTGTATTGGAAGTATACTTCCGCCAGAACACGGAGCTTTAGAACTGCTGACTGCTTTATTCCGCTTCATCAGAACTTGGAGCTCCTCGGCTGAACTACTTGGAGCGGCGAACAAAAGGGAAAACAGGATGGGATTTGACTTAGCTGGTTGTTTTGTGAGCTTGAGGCTTGCTGGAAAAAGGTTTTGTGTGTTCTGGTGGTTGCTTTTCTGGTTGATTTCTGGTGTGACTGCTCGGATAAGAAGAGGCATAAGAATGTCCATGTTGTGGCAATTCCACCCAGAAGGTAATAGGTTACTCCTACAGCAGGTCCAAGGCTCTCCGCTGAGTAGTAGCAGCAACTTTTAGTTTATTATGATTCCAAATGATTGATTAAATAAGTTCTTACCAAACCTTAAAAAATTAACCCTAAAAAATTTATATCCCACACTTTTATTTTTGACCTAATCTATACTTAAATAGAAAATATAATGCTATGGGCCCAAGTGTGTGGGCTTGAAATTGTGGCCTAAAATTATGTGTGACAAATTTTATTTGTATTTGAATAAAATTTTACATTGTGCAAAATATTAAAGAAAAGAACTTAATGACGTAACTAATGATATGTAATGATGGAATTTTAAAATTAACTAATAAGAAATTCTAAATTTTAATAAATATGGATACTTATCGATAAATTTATTTAAAATTATAAAAAAATATATTTTAGAACTATTAAATAATTAATCTTAAAATTTCGAATTATTAAAATGTTAGGTCAAAATTGGGTGTCAACAATTGTCCCTTTCGTTGGATATGATTGATGAAAGAAATCGTGAACAACGAAAATTGACAAACCCGATTTTGGCCGAACACATGACCTTTATAAAAAGTGTGGTTGAAATGTGGTGGAAGTTAATCCCAGACTTTCCTCCAAAAGGTTCCACGCTGTGTTGCGTGCTTTTTGAAGTTGTCTGCACATGTGACTCAATTGAGAATTATCTTTGGTAGGATATAAATGCATGTACATCGTTAGGACGAATGAAAAAAGATAATTCATCGGTAGGATTTTAAATGTATGTCCATCGGCAGGATGAATGAGAAAAATGATTCATCAGCAAGATTTTTAATGTGTGTCCATCAGTAGGACGAATAATTAAAAAATAATCCATCGGTAGGATTTTGAATATATGTTCATTGGTAGAACGACTGAAAAAGATGATGATCCATTGGTAGGATTTGAATGTATGTCCATCGGTAGGATGAACGAGAACAAGATAATCTATCGGTAGGACTTTAAAATTTATGTCAATCGGTAGATGAATAAAGTTATTTCATCACAAGTTTCCTCTGACTTGAACGTGGAATAGATAGGGTGCACATATTTCACCTCAGAATACATGCCTGAAATGAAAATATCTTTCAAAGCAAGTTCCCACCGACTTGAACGTTGAAAAAAAAGAATGCACATCCTTCACCTCCGAATAGATATGACTTAAATGCAAATATCTTTCAACGCATGTTTACACCTACTTGAACGTTAAAAAGATATGGTGCACATTTTCACCTCCAAATAGATGCGACTTAAATGCAAATATCTTTCAACGCAAGTTTCCAGCGACTTGAACGTTGAAAAGATATTGTGCACACCATTCACCACCGAATAGATGCGACTCAAATGCAAATATCTTACAAGCAAGTCTCCACCGACTTGAACATTTAAAAGATATGGTGCACATCATTCACCACCGAATAGATGCGACTTAATGCAAATGTCTTTGAATGCAAGTTTCCACCGACTTGAACATTGAAAAGATATGGTACATATCCTTCACCACCGAATAAATGCTACTTAAATGAAATGGCAAATGAAAAATGCAATGGCCCTCTTGACAAATAAAAAATGCAATGAAAATGCAACTAATGGCTGGCCTAATGATTTTCCACTGTTACAAGGTAGACGGCTCGGTGATTATCCAACTTTAGAGAGGTGGATGGCTCGAGGATTGTCGACTGTAAGGAGGGAGATTAAATCGATGATTGTCCAATTGTAATGAGATGGATGGCTCGGGAATTGTTTGCTGTGACGAGGTGGATTACTCGATGATTGTCCTACTGTAAAGAAGTGGATGGATAGATAACTGTTTGGAGAGTTTCATCCCCCTAGTGCTTTTGCCTGTTCCTCTACTTGAAAAGAAACAATTAGCAGACACAATGTCGTCTTAGATAGCGACTCAGCCAACAACCTTGAGAAAATATATTTTTAAAAAGAGAATGTGCATAAAAGTATGGTCACTTTAGCACATGTGAGCAATCAACATTTTACTCTTGAACTTTTTATGTTTATTGTAAATCATGTTTTATTGAGAACTTTGCGAGGATCTGCTGCATTGCCATGACAAAGCTGAAGATTCGCAAGTTGATTTTGACCTTCAAACGTTGAAGGATCATTTGGAGTTAGCTACCAAGCTTCTCAGGGTATATATTGGAATTTCTGAGGTCTTCCTCAAAAATTCAGTTCCCTGTTAGAACTTTGACTAATCTGAAAACGATCTCTAATCTTGACTTGATAAAGATATCAAATTCATTTTGATTTTTTGAGATATTCTAAAAAATTCTGTCCCAGTGTTTAGCACAAGGAAAAAGAGAAATTACACTGGGTATATGACCATGCCATCATGGCGCCTACACATCCCGTTGAGCCAAAAACAGGTCAAATGTAGTTTTAGCCCTGTAGATGATGAATACTACAAAGAATTCTAGACAAGATCATTAGTAGAAAATGCACAATACGAACATGATAAAATAGGAAAATAATATTCCATGTGATATTCAAAGCCTAGAGATAAAATACATTTCAAATTATTGGGACAAACAACCCCATAAAGTAAAATAAGACTCTCGCATATACAAGATTAACCTAATGACACTTTTTGCGATAAACAACTCAAAAAGGCAATTTCTTTTATTTCTCTTTTTAAAAAAAAATGGAAATACTCTAAAGAAATGGTTTAAAATATTAAAACGTGGGTTCTTGCTTACTTTATTTTGTTTTTCGTTTCTTTTTGAAAAATAGAGAATGTGATGAGATAGTCAAAATCTTGACTACAATTGTTACCAACTGTTTGATTACAAGTAAATCTCTTCATTCTTTTTTTTAAAAATTATGGTTGAATTCAAGGTAATTCATAGAGCTTCAAGTGGTACCTCAAAAATACTTAAGGGTCAACAAGATTCGTTCATTTTACTTAAAACACAGGTTTTGAATTGTTCCAATCCTCATGTTCAAGTTCTTTCACGACAAAGACTGATCCGATTCACACATATTTGAAACATTTTTTTTGGGACATTTTTTTTCAAACTGCACTCACACTCACTAGAATGTTCAATTCATACAACTATGATACCATATGCTTGGCCTTATGTAAATCTCCTCTAATGTGAGAACATTTGGAATGAAACCATATAGGGCTTTGTTATTGGCTTGTAACATAGTCTTAGGGATGGGTAGAATATTTATTTGGGATAAAATTTACTTAATTCCTCCTTGAGCGTCACACTAAATTTGTGTCCTTAATGATTTATATGCCTTTGGCGTCAGATCCTCTTCATTGTCCTCCCCTCTTTTGAATTCATTTGAATTATAAATTTATGGATCTTTTTCCTTCTTCTTCTCTTTTTTTTCACCCCCTTTGTTTCGACTTCTTTTGAGTCCTATTTCTTGGAGTTTTTCTTTTATTTCACCCCTTTCGTTAGACTTCTTTTAAGTTCTCATTTCTTGGAGCTTTTCTTTTATTTCACTCATTTCCTTTGAATTTTTCTCCTCTGTTGTTGGAGTATTTTTTTTACTGACCTTGTAGGGGAAATTTTGTCTTTCTTTATTGCTTTAAACTTTTTTCTTTTTTTTCTTTCTCTTGAATTCTTTTCTTTTTTGTTCTTTGACTTCATGAGACTCGATATCTTTGCTTTTGGAAATTTCAAACATGAATCTTCTCTTATAATTTGCACAATCTTGGTACATTCAAAAAGGTTGGGCCAAGAGAAGGATAGTGCAAATAAGCACTAAAAAGGGTAATGACTCAAATGTGGTTGTCCAAAAAAAAGGTTTCAGGCTCAAAAGTTTGAAAACTAGGGATTGATGTTATTTTGTAGGCTTTGAAAAGCACAATCGGATCAAAAAAGGCCTACAATCCTTTCCGCAACCAAACATTACTCAGGTTTCGCCTCAAAAAACATTCGGCCAAGTTCTAGATCGACAATGTGATGCAATTGAATTTTGATCTAAAAGCTATCCACACCATGCACATGAAATCAGGAGATTGGTTTTATTCTTTTCTTGAATGTCTGCAAGATAACTTTCAAACATCACAAAAGTACAAATGAGAAGTACCATAATATCGATTATTTTTACATGATCCTAATTGTATTAGTCAAAACTAAGTCGAAGACATGACTATTCTGATATATAATTTTATTTAAAGAATGAATAGCGAACCCAAGAAGGGCTGCCTACATATCTCGTTGAGATGAGAACTAGGTGATCATAGTTCATGCAGTTATACCTTTGAAAATATGCACAAACAATTTTACTTTTTTTTTTGAATTCAAAAGAATGAATGTCGAACCGAAGAAGAGCTGCCTACATATATCATCGAAATGAGAATCAGGTTCGCGTAGTTCGCATCTAAGGTTTTGAAAATATTCACACAATATTATCTTGTTATTATTTTTTTTTGCTTTTGAGAAAATGGATACCGAACCCAAGAAGGGTTGCCTACGTATCTCACAAAAATGAGAATCAGGTTTGCATAGTTTGTACAGGTATGATTTTGAAAATACGCACAAACTATATTAATTTATTTTTTTCTTTTGGAATAAATAATACCGATCCCAAGAAGCGCTGCCTACGTATCTCACCAGAATGAGAATTAGGCTCAAATAGTTCGTTCAGAGAAGACATATAATAATTTAAAGATTTAGACAAAAATCAAAGAAATTCCCCGTACGTGTAGCAGCACTGACATCTATAGTCATCAAGTGTTTTTGACCCTTTTTTTTCACTGCAATATGTTTTACATCCTCTTAATCGTCAATCTTTATAATGTGTGTTAAATGTAGGCTACAAATTTCTACAATAATGACTTTCTGTACTCTTTTTGAATGTTTTCTTGCAACAGTGTCTCCTCCCCATTATTCACGGAACCAGATACTGTTATGACCATCCCCGCCAATTGTCGAGAATGGTTTTCCTGAAAAAATATAAGAAATGTATGAAAGTAAGGCCATAATAATAAAAGTAAAATTAAATAAATAAGTGTAACTTTATAGTCAACGACTCCCCTGATTTGTCTTTTTAACTTGAGATTGAGATTTCGCGAGTCCTGTTGTGCGTTGCGACTTCGGACGAACTATGACTTTCAAATTCTGACATAAATCAACCT